TTGCTCGTTGACAGATCCTCACGTGGTATCTTCCCCGTCTACAGTCTATACCTGCTCCCCTTTTATATGACACTCAGGGAAGTGGGGTAGAACCCATTCTCCTCCAGTATGACTTAACTGATACTGTGTTCAAAGAGGGACTAGTTACTAGTCATGAGAACAAAGGTTAGGACATCAACATTTTTGGGTGGGGGGCACAAATGACTCCATTACATATTTGGAAGGAGAAATAGTTCTGCAATAGTTGGACCCTTCGATACACCGTGAATAATGGAGGGAACATCTAGACAGAACATTAATAAAGAAATAGAAGGATTGAACACCGCCACAGACCAACTAGAACTCGTGGACATGTATACACCTCTGCATCCCACAGCAGCACAATACATACTCTTCGCCAGTGTATATAGATCATTCTCCAGGATAGACTGTATTTTAGGCTACAGAACAGTCACAGTGTTTTAAAATGTTGAAACCATACAAAGTAACTGCAGACCACAATGAAATAAAGCTATAGATCAGTAACCAAGAAAACTGAAAAACTCACAAATATGGAAATTAAACAACATACTCTTAACACTTAACCAATGGCCAAACAGATCACAAGAGAAAAAAATATTGAGGCAAATGAAAATAAAAACAACATTATCAAGACTGTTGGTGTGCAGGAAAGGCAGTGCTGAAGGAAATTTCATAGGTGGTAAAGCATGCCTTAAAAAAGAAGATCTCAATAACTCAGTTGAACAACTTGAGGAACTAGAAAAAGAAGACCAGGCTAAGCCCAAAGTTAGCAGAAAGAGGGAAATAAAGATTAGAATGGAGATCTAAAAAAAAGAAAACATAGTGACAATCAATGAAACCAAAAGTTGATTTTATGAAACAGTCAACAAAATTGACAAACTTTTAGTTGCACTGGCAAAGGAAAAAAAAAAAAAAGACTCAAATCATTAAAATTCAAAATGAAAGTTGGGACATTATGACAGCGTGTTCTACATCCTACTTTGGTGAGTAGCACCTGAGGTCTTAAAAACTTTTGGGTGCCCATCTGAGGTGCTTTTGGTATCTCCCTACCCAGAGCAAAGAAGGGTGAAGAAAATCAAAAGATACAAGGAACAGTTAGTCCAAAGGACTAATGGACCATTTGAACCCCAAGCCTCAATGACCCTGAGACCAGAACTAGATGGTGCACCTACTACCACTGACCATTCTGAAAGGACCACAACAGAAGATCCTCTACAGAATGGGAGAGAAATATGACCAGAGCTCAGTCATAAAGAAGACTAGGCTTACTGGACTGACAGAGACTGGGGAAACCCCCAAGACTTCCATAATGCCAGGAAATCTGATCCAGAAGGACGTGGCAAAAGAGTGGAAGATACCTAAAGGGCCCTATGTGACTGTTAGAGAGGAAGCCATGATGCTCTCGACTAGATATACTTGAGTTGTTGGTTTACAGTGATGGCCGTTTACAGTGATCTTCAAATCAGTAGTTCCGTGGACTAGTTCTCTGGTGGGTTTTAAAGCATTTTCCTTAAGGGGTGATTCCTTGCAGACTTTATGCACACTGCAGTTCATGTAGCAGATAAATTACAGCTCTTCCTAGTTCTTACATGAGTACTATACCACGTATCAAAGGGATCTTTGTAATTTTTTGTATAAAGTATGTATGGTTGAGTGTTTTCTTAGAAATTAAAAGGCTAAACACACACACAATCTTCAGAGAAAAGCAGGGCAACACTTTCAGGCCAGGCTTTCACCAGTGGATTATCTAATATCTTAACAAAGCCACAAATAACATAAATAAATGCAACCTCAGGAAAATGAAAAACTGTCAAAAGGGCTTACCAAAAAAGTGAAAACCTACTGACTGGGAGAGTATCTTTGGAAACAATATATCCAGCAAGAAGCTAATAACCAAAATACAAATAAAACTTCAACAACAACAAAATCAAATGGGCAAAGGACTTAAACAGACATTTCAACAAAGAGAAGATTCTAATGGACACCAAACACAGGAGGAGACGCTGTGCGTCATTACCGTTGTTGTTAGGTGCTGTCAATTTGGCTCTGACTCATCGCACTCCTATGTATAACAGAACGAAACCCTGCCCAGGCCTGTGCCAGCCTCACAATCCTTGCTGTACCTTAGCAGCCACTCTGCCAGTCCTTCTCGTTGAGGGCCTTCCCCTCTTTCACTGACCCTCACTTTACCGCACATGGTATCCTTCTCCAGGAAATGGTTCCTTCTGACAACATGACCAAAGTAGGTGAGATGAAGTCCAGCCATCCTTGCTTCCAAGGAGCATTTAGCTGCACGTCTTCCAGGACAGATCTGTTAGTTCTTCTGGCAGTCCACGGTACTTTCAATATTCTTCACCAACCCAACACAAAAGCTTCAACTCTTCTTTGGTCTTCCTTATTCATTGTCCAGTTTTCACATGCGCATGAGGCGATTGAAAATACCATGGCTTGGGTTAGGTGCACGCTAGTCTTCGAAGAGACATCTTTGCTCTTCAGCAGTTTAAAGCAGTCTTTTGCAGCAGATTTACCCAGTGCAATACTGGGTATTTCCTGACTGCTGCTTCCATTGCAGATCAAAACCACAATGAAATGCCATAACACTTTCAGTAGGATGGCTAAGAAAAAAACAATCAGAAAATAAACAAATCTTGGCAAGGATATGGGAAAACTGGAACTCATCCATTGCTGTAGGAATATAAAATGGTATAGCCCCTGTGGAAAACAGTGGGGCAGTCCCTCAAAAAGCTAAAAATAGAGCTACTATGTTGTTGTGCTGTCAAGTCGGACCTGACTCATAGTGACCCCTCCTTAGATTTCTGAGGTGGTATCACTATGGAAATAGATTACCCAACCTTCCTTCTAAGGAGTGGCTGATGGGTTTGAACCGCCAGCCTTCTGGTTAGCAGTCAATGCCTTAGGCACTACACCACAGAACTCCTACAGCTACCGTATGACCCAGCAATTCCACGCCCAGGTATATACCCAAAAGACTTGAAAGCAGAGACTTAAAAACAGACACTTGTGCACCAATGTTCGTTACAGCATTAAGTCAAGGCATGCAAGGGTGTACTACTCAGCCATTAGGAGAAATGAAGTCTTGATACTTGCGTGCTACAGGGAGGATGGAACCTGAAGACATCACACTGAATGCAGTATGTGTATGACCTCACTTGTATAGAAAGACAAGACGAGGCAAACGTATGGAGACCAGAGTTTATTAGTGGTTACCAGGGGTGGGATGAGAGGGAAAAAGGGTGTTAATCTTGATGGACTAATTGAATTAAGGGTAGGATTACACAGCAGATGACTGTTGTTGTTAGTCATACACCTGTAAAAACTGAACTGATAAAAGTTGTGTGATCGATTTATTTACAACTACAAATGAGAATCAAAGAGAGTAGCTTCTGAGGCTGCTTATGTACAACCAAACACCTCATGGGATTTAGTTTCTTGGTTTGGAGATTTACAGTCAAGGTTTCATGGGACATCCCAGTTAATTGGCCCAATAACATGTTTAGTGCTTCTGTTCCACCTCCTAGTACACTGTGTAGTGCCTGGGATCTTAAAAGCTTGCAAGGGCCATCCAAGGCACAACAATTGGTCTGTTCACCCAGAACAAGAGACAGGAGAGTCAGGAACAAGAGAATATGGAACGTGTGGCTTGGCATCTGTGAACAACTGCCTCCTCTGCCATGAGACTGGCTGGTGCCCAGCTACCATTACTGAACATTTTGATCAAAGAGTCTACAGAAGAATCCGGGTCAAAAGGGGAAACGCAGAACACAGTTTCAAATAATTAAGACTCCAGACTTTCTGGGGACATGCCGGGTAGATCAGCCCTTGAAACTACTGCCCTAAGATCATCTTTAAAACATAAATATCCCTGAAGTCTTCTTAAAAACCAACCAACAGTTTAGCTTATCTAGTGAAAAAAAGTCTGCCTTGAGCATTATGGTCTTTTAATAACCACCCATATGGGATCAAATGACAACAGCAACTGGAAAGATTAGATAGGATCTTAGAGGACAGCGAAAATGAGGGAGGAACAATTCAGAAAAGGTTGCAATAGTTGAACACCTTTAAGAATGTCATCAATCAGTCACTAAATCATACGTGTTTGTGTATGTCTCGCACAGTGGTTAAGCGCTCTGCTGCTAACCAAAAGGTCAGTGGTTTGAACTTGCCAGCCACTCCATGGGAGACAGACATGGCAGTCTACTCCTGTAATGACTACAGCCTTAAACAAGTTATGGGACAGTTGTCCTTGGTCCTATAGGACTATGAGTCACAAAGGACTTGACAGCAGTGGGTTGGTTTTTTTAAGCTGTCAGATGTTGATCAGGACAGGCCCTGTTCTGAGCACTGTGCATAATGCCTTATTTAGTCCCCAACCCTATGACAGACTAAAGGGTAGAGAGAGTTAGGAAGCTGCCTAGCAATACAGACCATGGATTAAGAAAAATGAGGGTGGTTTTACAGGTTACCTATGATTTCAGCTACTTTAAGAATTAGAATAAATGACTTTATTTTTGCCAAGAATCACCTAGGTTACAGCAGCATGTTCCGTGAATATTGCTTACATCCCGTACAGTTGTCATGTACCTAGTTTTCGGACAATCAGGAAGTCGTCATTCAAGCTTCTGTTAGGCCACACGATAGTTACCCCAACATACACACTTCAGCAAGCATAAAGAAGACAGCAGATCTCTACATTTCCAGCAAATGGGCTTTCTGTGATACAGAACTATCCCCCGCACAATGACCTTAAAGGAACACATAACCTGTTACCTTTACAGCTGCAAGAGCTCAGGTAACTGTCACCTCGGAAAGCTACAAAGGCATGGGAAAGCAAAATGCTAGCCTAGACTTTGTATCTTGGGATTTCCATTTCAGCCTAAAACTACAAATTAACAAATACACAAAATTAACCCCACATAATTAAACTTCTGTAGGAAATTCGTCTTGTATACACGTTTCAAACAAAAATGGAACTTCTCCAATAGTCTGAGCAAGTAATTGGCAGACCACAGAAATAAAACAGTACTGTTGGAAAAGGAAACACTTTAGTGTTTGAGAGAGAAGAGACTGGTGAGTGTCATTCCAATTTCTCATCGCCTTCTTCCACGTCTTTCAAATTGAGCACTTCCAAAGAACCTTTTCCCTTTGTCTCCTTTTTTATCAGCTCATCAATTTCTCTGAAGCAGCCTGGGTCAATGAGACACACCTGAAACAGTGAACACAGTTGACATGAAGACAGCTGACAGAATGGAGTAAACCCAGTGGTAGCTTCCTTCCTGGGTATGTGGATGGAATGCTACAGATCTATGGTGAAATACAAAACAGAATGCATGAGCAATGGGTGAGGTTCAATTCCAGCCTCTGCCCTCAAACATCCAGGGAGGGGCCTGTGACAGGCACTAACCCTCCTGCTTAACGGTGTATCCAGACTCCTCAGCTGTATAAGCAGGGGCTGGACTAGAAGACTCTGGTCCTTTTCATACAAAAGTTCACTCAATTTTATAAATACAGTAAAATGATCCCTTTCTAGCCATGTTGCAAGAAAAAGAAGCTGAAAGGCTTATTTAGAAACCATATATAAAGTTTTAAAAATATTTTAGAACTTCAAAGATCGTCTGATGGTGGTTTCCCGTTAAGAGTGAACACTCACAATGCTTAACAAGCTCCCAGCCCAGTGATACACTGGAGAAGCCGCCAAGCCCTACAGACCCGGACTGGCTGTCGGAAGGTGTGGGGTCAGGAAGATTGTGTTGCTGCCTTGAAAGGCTCTCTGGTGACTGAAGTGTCCAACTTTTAGTCTCTCTTCTTTTTTCCCCATGACAGAAGGCTCAACTGTAAAATCTGTTCTCGCCTCTAAAATGAACATGATCGACAATCTAATCATGAATAACTCAACTGAAAACCAAAACAGGGCTTTGAACTGGTTCACTCAGGGCCAAGGAAGTGAAACTAGAACAGAGCTAAATTTTTACAATTTGGGGGATTGGAATGGTACATGAAACAGGAAAAATTATGCCCTGGAACAGGAGAGATGGAAGAAGCATAGTGGAGTTGGAAGAGCTCCCTTTCAGGAGCCTGATGCAGGAGACTGGATTATTTCCTGGACTGTGAAGAACAACACACTTTCAAAGTGGTGTTGTCAGCTGCCATCTTTGAACTGGGCACTGTTTTGAACTCAGCCCGAGATTTGGTTGCTGCACAATGTGCACGCTGCCTTTGTTTTCTAAAAGGGAGTTTCTAGCAGGGCTTTGACTCTTCATTCTTCCCATTCCGTTTCACCCACATGTAAAAAATTTGGGTCCATTCTGGTGTCACTCTGTCAGTCACGACTGAACAGGGCTCAATTGGTTTGAAGGCCTAAAACAGTCACAAGGTCCTTAAACTACAACTTAGTTCCACTTAGGTTTCAATATTTTAACCTAATTCTAGGAAAGATGTTTTCAGACATATCTATCTTATCATTCACACCTTCTAAATGTTAGGACTGGAGGCTAAAAATTTTGGTAGCAAGTAACAGTATTTCCATCTTACAATTTCTAACTGTTGGTCGTAGTCTTCACTCTCTATGACCTTGATCAGCGGCTTGAGCTTCTCTCTCAGCTTCTTCCCTTCACTCACGGGGAGAAGGAACCGCAGTCTCATGTGCGCTCGCTCGATCTTCATTTTCTCCTTTAACTGCTTTATCACTTCCAGAGCCTGTCAAGACAAAAGTGAAAATGTGTGCAATTTCTTTAGTTCTTCCGCCACATTATTTCACAAGGTATTCAAAATAAATCAATTGCTGGCTGGATTAGGCAATGGTTCCTTAGATAGAACACCAATGGCATAAACAGGAAAAAAAAAAAAAAAGATAAATTGGACTTCATCCAAATGAATTAACTTTTTTTTTTTGTTAGTATTTGTGTTTTTGATGAAAGCTTATATAGCAGATTAGTTTCTCATTCAACAATTTCTACACAGGTTGTTCAGTGACATTGGTCACACTCTTCCTTATGTGCGGCATTCTCGTGACTTCAGCGTGGGTCGTTCTGTCTCCAGTTTGCCTGCCCCTTACCTTTGTTTTAAAGTGATGCTGACAGTCTGGTCTCATATAGATGCTTTTTGAAGAAGTGCAGTACCTGCAGCTGATACTCTCTATTCTGTGTGCCTGCCTGTTACTTAGCTAAAAGTTAAGTGACCTTGGGATAGTTTTGGTTCAAGGTTTAAAGAGTATCTCAAGGTAACAGCCTTGGGGATTATCTAGTTGGTCCAGTAAGTCTGGATTTTTTTTTTAAGAATCTGAGGTTCTGTTCTGTATTTTAAAATTATTATCAAGAAAATGAAATGACAGCCTACAGAATGGGAGAAAATATTTGCAAATTATATATCTACCTAATATTCAGAATATATAGAACTCTTACAATTCAACAATAAAAAGGCAACACAATTAAAAAACAGGCCAAGAATTTGGATACGCAGTTCTCTAGAGAACATATACAAATGGCCAATAGGCACATGTGGAAAGATGTTCAACACCACTAGCCATGACAGAAATCAATTCAGAACCACATTGAGCTCACACTTCACACACCAGGATGGCTATTCTCAGAAAGAAGGACAGCAAGTGCTAATAAGAATGTGGAGATTGGAAGCCTTCTCCAGTGCTGGTGGGAATATAAAATGCTGCAGCTGTTTTGGAAACTGTTTGCTGGTTCCAGTTCCTCCTAGTTACCATCAGTTCCACTCCTGGGTATACAGCCAAGAGAAATGAAGGCACATGTTGACACAAAAACTTGTCATGAATTTCACAGCAGCATTCTTCATGATGGTGAGAAGGTAAACACCACCCAAATAACCAATGAAATGGTTTTTATACAAAAAAAAAACCAAACCAACCCACTGCCATGGAGTCATTTCCCACTCACATTGCCACTAGAGGACAGAATAGAACTGCCCCATAGGGTTTCTAAGGCTGTCATCCTTTATGGAAGCAGACTGCCTCATCTTTCTCCCATGGAGCAGCTGGTAGGTTATTCAACCATAAAAAAAATACAATACTGACACATGCTGCAATGGATGAACCTTGAAAATATTATGCTGAGTAAAAGCAGCCAGACATGAAAGACCACACAGGGCATGATTACATGTACATGGCGTGTGCACAACGGGCAAGTCCATAGAGACACAAAGGATGCGATGGCCAGGGGCTTGAGGGAGGCCGTACTGGGGCTGACAAGTACTGGGCTTCTCTCTGAGGTGATGAAAATGTTCTGAAATTAGGTCGTGGGCACAGTTGCAAAATGTGACCACATCAGTGATATGCACATTTTGAAAAGGTGACTTTTGTGTTATATGATTACATATAAATAAAAAAAATGTGAAAAGTACAGTCAGAGATGACCCTTTAAAAATCCAAGTTTTATCTTCCAAGGTATGTTTTGGATCATTTGGATGATGATGAGAATCCTATCTGTGTTTAGGTTAAAAAAAAAAGAAAATGACGTTACCTCTATTGATAACTCGTCACTCCCTTCAAAAAAGAAAAAAAACAAAAAAACTGTACTGATTTGCTTCCAAGTAGCATCACTTTATAATCACAGGCGCATTATTTTAATAATTGATTTAAGGAAAACTCTTTGCACAGGGAGCTCTGATGCTGCTAGAAGACACTCACCTGCTGTTTTGTGCTCTTGTTGGTTTTGACTGAATAGTGGATGTCCTTCATGGCTCTCTCAATAAGGATGACAGTGTACGGTCTCTTTGTTTCAGGATTCACACATTTGTCTGCTACAATAGTTGCAATGTCCCGAAACATCTGCTCCAGCTGTGTGTGCCTTTCTTTATCGGATACTTGAACCTCTCCTTTAGTCAAAATCTGGGGGGGTGGGGAGGGGAAATCAAGAAGCCAGCACAGGTGTCTGTCACATGCTATTTGCTAACCACACACAAGAATGAGTAACTAGGGAAGAAAAGGGAATTTCATCCTTTCCAGCTGACAGGTAAATAATGACTTAAGCTTTGCTCAGAGGAAGCACTAGGTTATGAGGGTCCAAAAATGTCACTTACTTAGAACCGAGGGGTGGGGTGGGGAAATGGTAATCTTACCAAAGGGCTTAAATAATAAAATACTTGAGAAGAAATTCTATTTCCAAGTATAACTCAAAAAAACCTAACTCACTGCTGTTGAGTCGATTTGACTCATAGCGACCCCTCCTTGGGCTTCTGAGGCAGTATCTCTATAGAAATAGATTGCCCAGTCTTCCTTCCCAGGAGTGGATGGTGGGTTTGAACCTCCAGCCTGCTGGTTAGTAGTCCAATGCCTTAAGCCCAAAATATATGAATGGGCAAAGGAGATAATTTAGTAGAAAGGTCAAATTCCAGAGGCTTTAGCAAAACATCGGCATGCCTTGAATTATTAAAAGCGAGATTGTGCATTGCTCAGCTGGGACCAAAAGGCGGGCGGTCAGAACCTTCCCACCTGCTGTCTGGCAGAAGGACCTGGCAGTCTGCTTCCCTGAAGGTGACAACAGCCTAGGAAACCACATGGGGCAGTTGTACTCTGTCTTACAGGGTGTTAGGAGTTGGAATCCCCTAGAGGGCCCCTAACAGCAACACAACGCGGACCACTGGCAGAACCCACCTGCTTACAGATTTCAGTCTGGTCATCGGTTCCAAATGCATTGACAAGATCTTCCTTCTTTGCAACCTGACCTTTGGAGACATTGACAAACACTGAGTGGGTCTGCAGAACTTCATCAAGGTCTTTTTCCCTTGTAAGGGCAGGAGAGAGAGTCCTAGTGAATACACCGGAAACCTGGACATTCATTCACATTTAAACGCAAAAAGGTAACCATGTCAAATAGCAAGAAACAACAAATACTCCTAAGGGACGATGAGAGCAGAGGAAAGTATTTTCAAAACGCTGATGGGCATTTAGAGTCGCCTTTACTCACTGGAGAAAAACTTCAGGGAAGTAGGAAGGAGGCTGGGGTAGGGATGAGGGCGTGGCGGCAGGGCGGGCGGCTGCCGAGGAAAGGCGAGCCCTACAGGGCAGCGGTGACGACGCCACGCACTTCGCTCAAACTACTTGGCGCTGTGACGTCAGCTGCAGTAACGTCATCAAAGTATTTGGAAGGGTAAGTTTTTAGTTTTACGATTCTGGAAACGGACTGTAATTATGAGGTTCCTTATTGTGTCTTTTATGCCAACAAAATAAAACTCCAACAACCCCAAACCAACCACAAAAAGGACCCCTTGCTCAGGCGTCAAGCTCGGGCCCGACAGTGACCTCTCAGGCTGCTAGCAGGAATATTTTCCATTTCCTTCTCCAGCCTGGCGCACCCATTAGACCAGATCAGAGAGACAGGCGGCGTCGGGGGCTCCCGACTCCGCCCAGAGCCGCAAGGGAGGGTCACTCACACGCCGCTCCGCCAGCCGACGACCTTGTTTTTGTAGCAGGCGATTTCAAAGCGCTTGCCACCGCGCTTCATCCGCACTACGGCCACATTGGTCAGGCGGATCTGGTTGGTTGGGGTGAAGATGGACATGGCGGCTGTTCACAGACCTTGGCCGGGCGAACCAGAGCAGACCTGTTACTCGGCCGAGGCCACCCGCGCGGCGCTGTAATGGTCCTGCGACGGCGGCGCAACAACGTCCGCAGAGCGCGCACCACCCGGACAAGCTCAATCCAGGGAGCCGCCACAATATACTCGGCTGACTTACTGCGCAGGCGTCAAGTGGCGAGGCCACTGGACTAGGAAAGGGGAGCAATGACGCCTGCGCGTTTTGGCTTTTACGACATCGCTCCGCGCCGTAAATGAGAGGGAATTTTTCTTAGTGATCGGGTGGAAACGCTCCACTGGCGCTGCATAGTTCCGCCGTGGTCAGGGGTCATACCAACTTTAACTTTCCGTTGCGGACGAAATTTGACATAACGTAGGCAAAAAAGTGCGACTAACCCCTGCGCACCCATCACGCTGCCTCAGCTGTTATCAACATTTTGTTGTCACCTTCCCACTCCGCCGAGTATTTTATAGCAAATGCTCTTATATTTCAGCCTTAAATATTTCAGTATATTAACAGATAAACCCAACAGGATTAACCACAGTTCTTTAATATCAGCTAATACCCAGTCCATAACCCCAAGCCATGCCTTTTTATAGTCGGTGTGTTCTAATGAGGATCCAAACAGCCCTACAAATTGTATTTGGTTGATGAGCCGCTTAAGTCTGTCTTTTCCAAATCAACAATTTTTCACAGGTATAATTCAGTGATGAGCACATTCTTCACATGGTGCACCCGTTCTCCCCATTCTTTTCTAAATTATTAACATAAACTCCACCATTAACATAAACTCAACCCCTCTTAGCAAAAACTCCTTTTTCTCCCACTCCTAAAAACCACTAATAATCTTCAGTTTCCATATGTTTGTAGAAATAGCCTAAGGGTTTCCAGGTCTGTAATCTTCACTGAAGTGGAGTGCCACATCGTTTTCCAGCAGAGTGGTTGGTGGCTAGAGAAAATATTGAAGTTGTCAGGGATTTTATTTTACTTGGGTCCAATCAACGCCAATGGAAGCAGCAGTCATGAAATCAAACAATGTATTACATTGGACAAATCCTCTGAAAAAGACCTCTTGAAAGTGATAAAGAGCAAAGATGTCACTTGGAAGACTGGCCCAAGCCATGATACTTTCAATCACCTCACATACATGAGAAAGCTGGTCAGTGAATAAGGTGTGTTGGCAAAGAATATCGAATGTATCATGGATGGCCGGGAGAACAAACAAATCTGTCTTGGAAGCAGTAGAGGTGGTATGTCCTTAGAATAGAGGAGAGGATGGTGAGCCTTTGTCTCTCATACTTTAGTCATGTTATCGGGAGGGACCAGTCCCTGGAGAAGGACATCAGGCTTGGTAAAGCAGAGGGTCGGCGTAAAAGAGGACAGATACTCAGTGACATCAACTGACACCGTGGCTGCAACCATGAGCTCAAACAGCAACGCTTGTGCGGATGGGGCGGGACTGGCAGTGTTTCCGTCGGTTGTACCGAGTTTTTACGAGCAGGAACCCACTTAACCCAAAAAAAAACAACAACAACAAAAAAAAAGCCCCAAACCCATTGCCATCCAGTGGGATCCGACTCATAGCGACCCCTCCTTGGGTTTCCCAGGCGGTATCACTACGAAAGTAGATTGCCCAACATTCCGAGGAGTGGCTGGTGGGTTTGAACTGCCAGCCCTCTGGTTAGTAGTCAAATGTCTTAGGCACTACACCACCAGAGCTCGCAAGAACCCACTTAAGGGCAGCTGAAAACAACATTCATCTGTTGATGGACCTTTCATTGGTTTCCACCTTTTGGCTACCATGAAGAAGAGTGCAACAATTAATACTGGTACATAACAGTCTCCATGAGTCTCTTTCTGGGCGCCCCTTTGCCCTCTTTTATCACACACGCCACTCATTTTTTAAACTGCCTCATGACCTTTCAACACCAGAGAGACTGCTCAGCCGTGGAGCGTCTTGCCGTCGCCCGACTTCTGGGCGGTGCTAAATCCCAGACTGTCCCTTGCTCCTCTGCGCTAGTCAGATCTGGACTGAGAATGCTGCGCGTCTAGGACCCGAGATCTGGGCGGAGCTCCGCTTTGGGCCCGCCCCTTCCCCCTTGGAGCCAATCGGGCTGGACCGCAAGCACTCCGGCTTCCCTGCCCTGGAAGGGCATGGCTGCCTCCGGGTCTGTGAGCTCTCCTGTGGGGTAGCTAGGGCGGCCTCCTGGCACCCTCCGCGGCTCACAAATTCTGCAGGTCTCAGGTCCCAGTCTCTGGTCAGGTGGCAGGGCATGGGTAAGGGTCCCCCGCGGGCATGGGTCGTGGGGCGGAAGGAGTGGAAACCATTTCTCTGGGACCCTGCTCCAGTCTCTTCAGAGACGGTAGCGTTTGGTCGCACCGTCAGCCCTCGGTGGGGGAACGTTGAACTGAACCCGCGCTTTTTGTCCTGGCTCTTGCCTCTTGAGGCTAGTGAGTGGATTTAGAGGGAGATTTCGCTTCTAACCTCATATAAAAGGCGGAGAAAACTGCCCCCTCCCGTCCTTGCCCACGTGTATTGGAACGTTCCGTTGGCTCCGGGGCAGAGCAACACCTGTGAACTCGTTCTTGGCTTCGCCTTTTGAAACTGGCCCCGGGTTCAGCAATTGCAGCAGGTCCCCGGGTGTCTCTCCTCAAAGTACGAGGCTTGAGGGGGGTTGTCTGAGAGCGCCTCACGAGTAGCCACGGGTCTTTACGAATGAAATTAGGAAAACCTACAACTCTTTTAAGCTTTTCTTATGGAGCAAGCATAACAAAGCCAAATTAATTCATAATTCCACGTCAAGGGTTTTCATTTTATGGTTTCTTGCTTTCCAATGTTTATGTCCATATAAAGGTACCAATTTTATATTTTGCTCTTTTTTTGAGTTTGCCTCGTTATGATAATTTTTTTGTGTTACTATTTTTATCACTTTATTTTCTATCGGTTTCTTTAGCCAGGTCAGTGACTATAATGGGTGTTATTTTTTTTTATTCGTAAAATATGGATGGACGTCTTCATATACGCAATATGTAACTAAACTGTATGCGTTAGAATACCAGTGAATGTCGTGTATGTAGTTTTTAACACAATTATGTATGTATCATTTTAAACCTAGAGCCTTCTCTGGATATATGGGACTTGTCCTCACCTTTCATGTCATTATGGATAAACAGATTTTACATATATTTGGGCTTTGCTGTTGGCATTGGCCTTTGGATTTGTGTCCAGATTGTCATCAAGAAGCAGGTAAGTGGAGTTATTTTTTCTTCAGAGGGTGTTTCGGGATCAGATTTCATACAGCATTTGGAGTGTACAGTGTAATTCGGAGTTGCTAAGCTTTCAGAAAAACACAGAAAAATTAAAAGGAACTTTTAAATCCCTTTCATGAAAAATTTATCTTTCGTCCATAGACATTATTTAAAAATTAAAAAAAAAAATTTATTGTGATTTGGTTGAAAGTTCACAGAGCAAATTCATTTTCCATACAGCAGTTCATACACATTTTGTTCCATGACACTGATTGCAGTCGCCACAGTGTAACAGCTCTCTTCCCACTTCCTCCCTGTGGTTACCTCCTCCCTGTGTCCGTCTTTCCTATGCATTCCTGCTCCCTGAGGTATCTCCCTGTGCAAATACCTTAGACATATTTTTAATGCCTAAAAATTTTCTGACTTATTAGAGACTAAGTTATTAACTTTTTCTTTGATGGGCTCTGGATGGCTCATTCTTAGATACAGGAACATTTTTTAATGAGAAATTGCACTTCATAAATGTAAAAACGACCTGTTCTGCACCTTTAGAGAGCAGTAGTCTACTCTATCCTTTACGTTTACGAAGTATAGGAAAAGTAAGTTCCTGTTGTTGTTCCACACATTATGGAGGAAAGTGTGTGCAGTTTTACTGTAGAGGGAATGGGAATCATGTCTTATGAAATGTGGGTCTTGCTTTGAAGCACCTGACTATACAAGGGCTAATATTTGAGGAAGGAGCCCTGGTGGTTAAGTGTTGGGCTACTAAGTGAAAGACTGTCAGTTCAAGCACCTCAGCCGCTTTGCAGGAGAAACAGCAGTCTGCTCCTGGAAAGATTACAGTCTAGGAAACCCTACGGGGCAGTTCTAAGTGGTCCTGGGTTAGCAGGTAAACTGAGTCAGTACCTGCTAATTCTCATCGCTACTGAATTTAGGAAAGGATTTAGATTTGATAGTGAATACATTGTTTATTTTCAAGGGTAAGAATTCACAGGAAAAATCTGTTCCCAAAGTCCCTTGGGATCTGATGACAAGTGGTTCCGCTTCCAATCAGAAGAAGGATGTGTTTGTGTCTGAAGTGAAGATTTTCTATGGCTCTCAGACTGGAACAGCAAAGGTAGGAATTGCGTGTGATGCTTTTCCTTGGGTTTCCTGACTCAGAAATTTCTGAAAAGTATCTTTGAGCAGTGAACTGAACTCGGTTGATCTTCTAGTCTTTAGTTTTCCTTTGCCTTTTCCCTCATATATTTTTGTTTTTGGGATGGCAGGTGGGTTTTCTTTTGTGCCCATTTCCAGCTGGTGGGTGCTGTGTGGTGGTCTGTGTTCCGAAGGTCTGCTTCAGCAGGATAGGGAGAGTTCTGAGTCCATTATTGATGCCTGGGGGTGTGGGACGGGGGGGTGAGGAAAGAGAATGGCTGCAGTCTCATCCGAGATGGGCCCCAAATCAAAACCAAACTCACTGCCGTTGAATCGGTTCCGACTGATAGCAACCTCCATTGGGTTTCCGAGGTGGTAAATCTTTATGAAGGTAGATTGCCCTGCCTTCCTTCCCTGGAGCATTTGGCAGGTTTGAACCCTCAACCTTCTGGTTAGCAGTCAAATGCCTTAGGCGCTACACCACCAGAGTTCCTTATGATGGGCCCCAGCATCTATTTAATGAAGCACATTGTGGCTTCTAATAGTGTTAATTTGTTAAAGGTAGACCTTGAGTACTGTGCCCACTCCTCACTTCAGGACTTGATTATGTTCCAAAGGCTAGGCTATTATGTGAAAATCAGCATTACATGAAAATGGAGGATGATATCATCACATAACTGCCAAACCACTGAGAATCATGGTGCAGCCAAGTTGGCACGTAACTTTAACCATCACAGCCAGTGTGACTCTTGCCTTGCTCCTTGGCCTTTGTTACTGCCAGACATATGTCATTAATGCACAGATAGTGGACTTTTCACTGTTGTCATAAATGTGCAATGTTGGATAAGGAGATAGTCGGCAAGTGAGGGGTTGGTGTACTTAAACTAGATGGGACTGCAGGATGCTTCCCCTTCTTTAATTGTATCCAGCTGTTTCCTGCTTCTTTGTTACAAATGTCAGGGCTGTTCAGTGCTTTCTAGGAAAAGATTCTGGGAGCTCTGGTGGCATAGTGCCTAAGGCATTTGACTGCTAACCAGAAGGCTGGTGGTTCAAACCCACCAGCCACTCCTCGGAAGGAAGGTTGGGCAATCTACTTCCGTAGTGATACTGCCTCGGAAACCCAAGGAGGGGTCGCTATGAGTTGGATCCGACTCGACAGCGGTGAGTTTGAGTTTTCAGTTTAGGAAAAGGTTCTGAGGAATGCCAAGCTGAAAATGTGTGGGAAGATAACCATGAAGGACTGTTACTTTTGTTTTCTATGCTCACTTCAGGGGAGGCTATTACTGCCCTCTTGTGGATGTTGTTTTGATTAATACTTCTCCACGGCACATAACAACAGCACTTGCTAGGTTTTTAATACTGCACTTACCATATTTCATATCACAGTTGAAAGTTGTTTAATAAATTCACCCTTGAGCAACAGAGGTGGGAAACCAGAAGAAAGGCAGAAAGGCATATGAGCAGTCAGAGCAAAGTCCTTGTGCGTGACTCATGTTGTTATCAGGTGTCCTCGTGATTTTGACTCATAGTGACCCCATGTGACAGAGGAGAACTGCTCCACGAGGTTTTGTAGGAAGGTCCCCAGGTCTTTCTCCTGCAGAGCTGCTGCGTGGGTTTGAACCCCCAACCTTTTGATTAGTGGCCGACCATTTCAAGGTTTGCTCCTCCAGGGCTCCGTAATGTTACTCAGCAGAGGCCTCACTCAGAGCCTCAGAATGAAGAGAACTCTCCAAACAACCTCTTTTAATATTCTGACTTTTCGTTCCTCTGGTGGCTACAGAGCTGTGTACTTTGGTTCTGCTGCGTTTCCAGTTTATCAGCTTTGTTCTCAGTAGTTGCCCGAGTGGGCTCCCCTTCATGGCAGCCTTAGATACGGCAGAATGAGCTGTTGCTGGTCCTATGCTGGCCGACCGTGAGTGCAGCGGCTCTGTGGGGATCTGTGAGGCACGCGGCCTCCCACTAGGGCTTCCTCCCGTCTGTCAGCCTGCCCCCATTGGCTTTCTAGGGTCAGAGAGGTGTTAGCATTTCTTATTCAGTAGTGATCTCCTCCCTTGTTCCATTCTCTTCACTACTCAGTCTCTTTATGAGTTTCTGTGTGTTCTAGGAGGGCAAGCAGTTAAAGTGTGTATAAGCCCGGGCAGGTGTCTTAGCCCTTGTGCCCTTATCGAGTGGAAAGCTGTTGGATGATTGATTTTTATAATGATGCTTGAGAAAATGGGAAAAGTAAGAATGTACTTGTGTTTATGATGACACACGTCGGTGAAAAAGACGACCCTCAGCGAGGTGGACTGACCCAGCAGCTGCAGCCGTGGGCTCAAACAGCAGCAGTTGTGTGGACGGCACAGGACCAGGCAGCATTTCATTCTGTTGGACTCGGGGTTGTTGTGACTCAGACCTGATTTGATGGCACCTAACAACAACAACAACAACAACAGAACCTTTTTCTGCTAAAAAAAAAAATATAGTCCTTTTCTAGTTTATAAGTTGTTTCAATGGATTCTTGGACTGAAGAAACAAGAAGGGGCTGATACCTGCTGATGTAGCCCTGGGCAAATGAGATCAAAGAGAAAGGGTTGCATGGAGCAGCTGGGGTCTGGACTAGGGTCTGACCAGGGAAGGGAAGCTGAGATTAATCCAGGATGCAGTTGGTGTGTGAAGTGGGACTGGGCAGTGTTTCGTGCTGTTGCATGGCGTCGCCGTGTGTCAGAATTAACTCGACGGCACCTAACAGCAACAGCAGCGTGTCAGATGCCTGTAGAAGTTTTCTGTGAGGAATGCTGCCTTCCCTCCCACTGAAGCAGGGTGGGTGAGGGCTGTATTTTGTGTCTTTGGCTTATTGATGACGTTGTTTGATTTTTTTCCCCCACTAGGGATTTGCGACAGTTCTTGCTGAAGCTGTCACTTCCCTTGGTCTGCCTGTGGCTGTTATTAACTTGAAGGACTATGATCCAGACGATCAGCTAGTGGAAGAGGTTGGTCACTGTCTGCTTTATTCTTTCTGTCAAAACCCTCAAATCTAATTGACCTGCTGTTTTGGGGGATAAATAGAGTTTTCAGCATAAATTGAATTTTCATGCTAAGGGATGGTTGCATTTTCACTGAATCAGAGGCTTTGGATGTGTGGTTTACACTGATTCTAGCATGGGCCTGTCTCTCTGGTGGGTTAGATTCTCTTGAGCTGGGGGTACGTGTGGGAAGGCTTTGGTGGTCTGAAGCCTGCTACAACTACCTTGAATCTCATAATAATGTTGTTCCTCATGGCAGGTGCGGTGCACATGGGGGCTGCCTGAAAGGTTGAGAGCATGGGCTTTGGAGGTAGACAGATCCCTTATGAGCTGTGTGACCTCATTACTTCATTTTCATGAGGGCTTAATTTCTTCTCCTGAAAAATGCTTCTCCCCTTCTCCAGTCAGGCCCAGTCAGGGGAGTTTGCTTGACATCAGTGGTTCCCAGAGTATTGTCCCCCAACCAGTAGTATTGGTGCTTCCTGGGAGCTTGTTAGCAGGCCCTCTGGCCCTGGCCCCACTGAGTCAGAGACTCTGCAGGTGGGACTGTGTTTTAACAAATCTTCCGGGTTCTGATTCATCTGATGTTGGAGGAAGCACTTAGAGGCGGGGTTGACATGCTTTTTCTATCAAGGGTCGCAGAATAAATGTCTTCAGCTTTGTGGGCCATGTCACTGCTCAGCCCTACCACGAAATAGCAGACAGCTGTGAACCCCAAAATACCAACCCCATTGTGATCAGGTCACTTCTGTCTCTCAGTGACCCGTGTCTCACGTGGTAGCGCTGTCCCGCTGGGTGTTCTTCACTGTGACCTTTACAGAAGCACACCAGCAGGCTTCCCTCCTATGGTGCCGCTGGGTGGTTCAGACTGCCAGCCTTTAGGTTGACAGCTGATTACAAACCGCTTACACCGCCCAGGGACCAAAAGCAGCCGGAGACATTGTGTCAATAAATTTGCCTTCCAATAAAACTCAATTTACAAAAACGGGCGATGAGCCACATTTGACCTGTGGGCTGTAGTTTGCTAGCCCTTTCTTAGAGGATAAATTTCTAACTGTAACGCTCTTTCTTGTGCAAGAAAATGTGCAGCACAAGTGAGGGAGCTTGGATCTGTTATTATTTGTGAAAGATTATCATTGAACATGGATATTTTCTTATTAGTGAGACTTCTTGTAAGTTACCTCATGACTTGGGACTTTTCATGTACATTCACGGGGATGAAATTCTCGGGCTGGCAGGACTGGAGGAGTGCTGGTGGCGCACACGATGAAGCATTTGACTGCCAGCTGAAAGCCTGGCAGTTGAAATCCACCCAGAGCTGCCTCTGGAGTACCAGCCCGGTGATCTGCTTCCTAAGGTCCCCACCTTGAGAAGCCGTGGAGCAGGTCTGCTCTGCACACAGGGCTCTCCATGAGCTGGAGTCAGCCCGATGGCAACTAATGAGAACTGCAAGCAGACCTGCGATGTATTTTGTTTCCCTGGAGATGATGGTGGCTGGTGGTATTTTACATGGGATTTTGTAGCTTTACTTTTTCACCAGTGCTTTAAGTTTTTTTGGTGTTTTTAAATTTTTTGTTGCTTTAATTTTTAATAACTCTAAAACATTCGTTGTTTTTTAGAGATCTTCCTGTATTTTTTCCTTTTCCTGCCTGACTTGCATTTTTGTTTACAGTCAGCAATGACAGGAATTCATTATCTGAAAGATAGAGTAGAGAATACGGTGAAGGGCTGCTGTGGGTCTCTTGGTTTGGGCACAGTTTTCTCCCCTGTGTGAGACGTCCTTGTCGCCTTTCTGTCGCTTTTGAAGATGAGTCACATGGAGGAACACAACCTTTGGCCTTTAAGATTAATATACTTTGAATGTCATTGTTTTAATAAAGGATTTTTTTTCTTTGAAAAAACTTAAAAGTGTATCAGAGATTCTCCTGAAATGGTTCCTTTCTTGGTTAGGTTAGCAGTAAGAGCGTCTGTGTCTTCTTGGTTGCTACGTACACCGACGGCCAGCCCACTGAGAGTGCTCAGTGGTTCTGCAAATGGTTGGAGGAGGCATCCAGTGATTTTCGGTTTGGCAGAACTTACCTGAAGGGTCTGAGGTACGCTGTGTTTGGCCTGGGAAATTCTGCCTACTCGAGCCACTTTAACAAGGTAAGGATGTGTTGAATACAGGGGTAGATTTTCCTTTTTAAGAAAATCACGTGCACATGTGTATGTGAAGTAATTCACAAGCTTTGCTACTTAATCATCCCTTTTGGTGTTACTCTTTACAGTGGGGAATTGCTGCATGCTTAGATCCCAGCCTGGCATTTTGTTGTTGTTAGCTGTTGTTGAATCGGCCCCTGATTGAAGGCAACCCATGCACAGCAGGATCGGACTGTTGTGACCCACAGGGTTTTCATTGGCTGATTTTGGGAAGTAGATTGCCAGGCCTTTCTTCCTAGTCTGTCTGAGTGTGGAAGCTGTGCAACACACAGATCTCCTCTGAGGGACAGGTGAGGTGAGCTCCGATTCTCCTGTGTGGAAGGCGACTCTTACCACTGTGTCACCACTGCCCTCACTTTATGGGGTCTCAGTCAGTCAGTGTTGAATGAAATAAGCACGCGTGTTGCAAAGTGGCAGCAGCTGCCTCTCACAGCCTGTCATGTGCAGCCTCCTGTCCCCCAGGTAGCACTGGTTCTTTGGACATTTTCATCAGCCTGTTCCATGGTTGGCTGGCCTTTAATGGCCAACCTGAAAAATACGGTTGAGCTCATTTTCTTTGAGTTGTTAATTTATGAAGGAAAATAAAGGGGAAGCGATCACTTGTTTATGTAAGAAAACTTACTGCTAAGTTTATTTTGCTCTGTTTTTCTGGATATTTTTTCTGAAGGAAATTAACTTGGCTGCCTTTTGATTCTGCATCTTGTTTTCTGACTCATGTGTTACAGAGTAGAACTGCCCCATAGGGTTTTCTCAGCTGTGATCTTAAGAGTGTTAGGCCGTTTCCTCCATAGTAACTGCTGTGTGAGTTTGAACCACCAACCTTCTGGTCAGCAGTTGAACGCAAACTGTGCACCACCTAGGGGCCTTCAAAGACCCTTAGTGGTTCTGAAAAGTTACCAGAATTTTTTAAGTGTACCTTTCTCTAGATAGAGGAAGCCCTGGTGGTGCAGTGGTTAAGTGCTCGGCTGCTAACCAAGAGGTGGGTGGTTCGAACCCACTAGCTGCTCTGCAGAAGAAAGGTGAGGCAGTCTGCTTTCATTAAGTCTTCAGCCTTGGAAACACTCTGGGGCAGTTCTCTTCTGTCTTACGGGTCACTGTGAGTTGGAATCCACTTGGTGGCAGTGGCTTGGTTTTAGGTTTCTCTTGACACAGGTCACAGCCCAGCTCACTTATCTCTGTTGAAATGTGAGTCTTGGTGAAGGTGGGAGCTGCTTCTTAACATTCTTTCATTCACTTGTTTGATTGCTGGGTAGGCCCCTGCCCCCTCGTCTTCAAGGGGATCAGGTAAATGTAGGTGTGTATGTATTTAGTTGAATGCCCAGCCTCGCAGGAAGCCTGCTAGGTCTTTGAACACTCAGCTGGCTCCTGATACCCCTGTGCTCGGCTGTATTGTTGGCACATTGGTGAAGTATGTTTGTGAATTTGTGAGTCTTGCCAGGTTGGTTCCGTTTGTGCTTTATTGTCGAATGTGCTTTGGTTCTGTTACGTTTTTGGAGCTGACCATGCCATAGAGCAGTGGTTTTCAAGCTGTAGTTTGGGCTTTGGGCCTTTGTTTAGTGGAAGCCTGATGCAGGGAACCGGGGTTGTGTGCGCTGAGCTGGTGGCTCTCCCTCTATGCGGCAGGAGGCTCCAGAGCGACCCTGGGCTTCTGCAGAGCGGAGGCTGCAAACCGCTGAGTCAGCAGGTTGTGTTTTCAGCTCATCCGCCTCCTTTTCTTGTAGGTTGGCAAAAATGTCGATAAGTGGCTTTGGCTGCTCGGAGCCCATCGTGTGCTGACTCGAGGGGAGGGCGACTGCGACGTGATTAAGAGCAAACACGGCAGCATTGAAGCTGACTTTAGTGCTTGGAAGACCAAGCTCGTCGCCCGGCTGCAGGAGCTTCGTCAAGGAGAGAAAAAACCATGTGGTGGCAGCTGCAAGAAGGGGCACTGCGAATCCGGTCAGCACGGCTCGGAGCGGCGAGAGTCGCCGCCTCACAGAGACACTGAGGTGCGTAGCCCACGTGGTCTGCTGCTCTCCTCCCACGGGTGCAGACACTGAGCCTGACCTCTGCCCTGAGGAATGATGCCGTTGGCTGCGGGGTGGAAGGAAGACCTGGTCCTGGGGTGGCAGCGGTTGAGGGTGAGCGTGGCCTCGGAGTTGAGCCAGGCTGTGGGGGTGTTGCCCATAGCTCTTCTCCCTTGCTTGCTTTATCAGTGAGGCAGATTTTTACATTTTACTGGTTAGAGAACAGGTTGCTTAGGTTAAGCATATCCAAGACGGAGCGTCCATCTTCATATCCCCAGACCACATGTTTCTCCTGACCTCTCTTAATCACTCCATCGGTCACTGAAACTCAAAGGCTGAGAGCTGTACTGGATTCAGTAGTCTCACCCCGCACATTCTAAGCTCTTCCTTCTTCTGAGACCCTGGTTTCTCTGAAGCCCCAGTCATCAGCACTGTCCCTTGCTGGTGCCTTCCCCCCCTGGCCACCTGCGTCACTCAGGAGCAGCTGTGGCTACTGACTCACTGTGTTTCTCTCCCCCTTGTTTAGCTCATTCTTGTTTGGGGCCGAGTCATCAGACAGGTGGTTTGTGTAGCACCTGGGCCTGCCAGCTTCCTGGCCTTGGCACCTCCAACACCTTTCGTTTCATAGACCGGGGCTGCCTACTTCCATGGTCGAGTCTGGAACTTCAAGTTCCCTTTCTCTGGCCTCACTCTGGTGCTCCTACTTCAGTAGTCTTTGGATTCCACTCCATCCTGTAACGTTTTCACTAGGTACTGAAAGTTCTTTCCCTCCCTTCCCTTTGTATCCATGGGAGCTTTTATGTGCAGTTGCCTTCTCTCTCACTTCCTGTTCAGCGTGAATGGCCAAACCACAAGAACCAAAACCTCGTTGCCGTTAAATCGGTTCTGGCTCATGGTGACCCCACGTGTTACACAGTAGTGCTGTTCCATAGCGTTTTCCTGGCTGTCATCTTTACGGATGCAGATCTCCAGGCCTTTCTTCTGTGGGACCGCTCAGGGACTTTGAACTGCCAACTTTAGGTTAATAGTCAAGCACAAACCATTTTTGCTACCCTAAACCTCAGCCGAACCCTAAGTCTGGTTGAAGTTGCTCTCTGCCCTCCCTGTGACTGCTGCTGTTTGACCACAGGTTTCGTGACTGAAAACCAAACCCACTGCCATTGAGTCAATTCCAACTCATAGTGACCCTATAGGACAGAGTAGAACTGCCGTATAGGTTTTCCAAGGCTGTGAATCTTTATGGAGGCAGACTGCTTGTCTTTCTCCCATGGAGTGGCTGGTGGGTTCCAACTGCTGACCTTTTGGTTAGCAGCTGAGTGCTTTCACTGCTGCACCACCAGGGCTCCAGAACTACCCGACAAGCCCATGACATTCCCTGTGAAGTTATGTCGCTGTCCAAGACGACTTTCCACACCCTCTTTCTCCCTGCCCCTTACCCCACCTTTGAAGCCATCAGAGAGCACCTGTCTTTTCATCAATCCCCTGCCTGATGCATGGATTGTCACCTTCTTTCTTGTCGCAGAAAATCCAGGATCTGGTTTCTGTCAGGAAATTCCTGTCCAGTTCCATGTGTGCTCTAGGGTCAAGGTTTCTGTCCCCTCCCACATCTCTCTCCCGTGTCGTTAATTGCTCTCTTTACTAGATTGTTCCGTGAACTTAAAGATCGCCTCTCGGATCACTTCAGGCAAATACTCAACTGAGGAGTAAATGAAAAGCAGGTGCTTCCTTAAGCATCGTCTTCCGGCTGCCAGCCCATCCTTCATCTCTCTTTCCTGCTGGCCTTTCTGTTTGTTTACATTCGTTTATCCTCTCTCCAACTGGCTCTTAACATTTTTGAAACTTTTTATTGAAATCAGAAGTAGCACTTTTACATTTAAAACCTCAACTGGTACTTACTAGGGTCATGACTGGAAACAACAGTTCCCTGCCCCATTTGTCTGATTCTCGTTTTCCTAAGGCAACCGCTTTCAAATCTTTTTGCTTTTTTTCCCAAGCATTTACCTCTTTATTTCTAAATAGTAGTCTCTTACATGGACAGAAGAAGCCCTGGTGCTGCAGTGGTTAAGTGCTTGGCTGCTGACTGAAAGGTCAGCAGTTTGAACCCACCCAGAAGCTCTGTGGGAGAAAGATGTGGCAGTTTGCTTCTGTAAAGACTGACAGCCTGGGAGACTGTGTGGGGCGGTCCTCCTCTGTCTTCTAGGGGCACTGTGAGTGGGAATTGATTCAGCCGCAATGGGAAACCCAGCCGAAGAACGAAGGCCTGGCAGTCTACTTCGGAAAATGAGCCAGTGGATCACAGTGGACTGTCAGTGTTTAGTTTGCGTTCGTGGGGCTGCGTGAATGGGGACTGACTCAGTGGCATCTTAGAATGACAGCAGCATCGATTGCTTGCCCCCCCAAATCACCCACAGATGTTCCCTTCCTTTTCTGTGAGTCTGATCACGCTTTAGATCACTGTTAGATCGTCATTCAGTGTTTAGTTCTTAACAGTAGTTCACACGTTCACACAGCTGTCCTGGCGCTAAGTAACACTGTTGATTTCTCTTGGGAGGATAATTGCCACATCTGCTTAGGTTTCTGTGTACCTGTCGCTGACTCATTCCCACACCTTCACAGAACTGTCTGGCTCACTCAGCGTCCTGTTGTTCTTACTGATTCTGGGAGACCATCCTCTGAGTGCCCCCAGGCCCTGGGCAAGCCTGGCTGCCGCTGAAGTTCAGGGTCTGTGCACATATGCCTCACATTTCTCTCTGGTGTCCTGCGTTGGATTCCTTGGCTCCTGGGTTCCGTATCTCCGCCTTTTTGGTTGATTCTGGTCTTTGGAGCCCGTTCTCTTGTAGTTCTCTGAGGAAGGGTACTGCAGAAGGCAGTTTTTAGTTTTCTTGGATCTGCGTGTGTCTTTATCAGACCTTCACAGTTGATGGATGCTTTGGCTGATAGGGAATTCTAGATGGGGTTAATTTTCCTCCAGAAAATCGAAGGCTCTGATTCATTGTCTTCAGTTGTAGTGTTGCTTTAGGAGCCTCCATTTTAATTGGGCTCTTAATTTCTTACTATGTGCCTTTCTTTTTATCTCCTGCTGGAAGCCTTAGACCTTACGAATAGAGCCCCTCTAGCCATCTCCCCAGGAGCTCTGGTAGCATAGTGGCTAAAGCACTTGACTGCTAACCAGAAGGCTGGCGGTTCAAACCCACCAGTCACTCCTCGGAAGGAAGGTTGGGCAATCCTACTTCCGTAGTGATACTGCCTTGGAAACCCAAGGAGGGGTCGCTATGAGTCGGGGCCGACTCGACGGCACATAACAACAACAACAACAACAGCCATCTCCCCAGCGCTCTGGTCTCTAATCACCTTTCCTGCTTTCCCTTCCTTACCCTGAGGAGGTAGCCTTGTGGGCTCTCAGCTTTTGATTCAGGCCTTGCGTGGGCCTCCCTCCTTGGAGCATCTGTTTGACTTTACCTGCTTGTCGTGTGCTCTGCAGCTGTCACACTAGTGTCACCAGAGCCCAGCAGATGTTCTCAGTGTCATTACTCACTACCTCCCAAAATTCCCCTTTTCTGTCCATATTTGGCCTCTCTGGATCTCTTTTTGCTAATTCCATGATGCATTGAAAATGCTGCTTTTTAAATATGATGTGATTCAGGTCTTGTTGTTTTCTGCAGAAGGCTTTTCAAGGTACATAAATAATCTGCCGTGGACTGGAAACAGAAGTCCCAGTGAACTGCCACCCACTCTGCAGAGGTTACTCTTCCCTTGGTCCAAGAAGCTTCATGTTGTCAAGCCTTGTAAATATTTCCTGTTCTTATTTTACTTGGCCTCTCAAGGAGCACTTGACAAACTCCTAATTCTTCTGTGACGACAGCATCATTTACATGGTTTTCTTCCTTGTTTACTCAAAGTCCTCTTTCTTTACAAACCAACCTGTAAATGTTGGAGTGACTCATGGCTTGGCA